CAAGACTGATGAATTTTCCTGTGAATTTACTTTCTCCTATTAAATTTACTATATAGAAATGTTAAGAAATAATGTCCTCCGAAGCGTACTTAGGAGAGAGATCCAGTAGAATTTATAGGCAAGCTGGTAGCATAACATCATTAGTATTCCTCAGTAACTAAGCAACATTTCTCAACTTCTAGAGTCATTTATTCATTCACTCAGCAAATAGTTTTGTTGTTGATGGTGATTAGAAGAGGGCTGAAATCAAGATACTGTGATACTAAAAACCACCTACCCATTTTCAGGAGTGCTGGGAGATTTGAAGATGATTTAATAGTAATTTAAAAACATAGAAAATTAACACTGAAAAGAAATAAGAGCCTATATCAAAAGAATCAGTGTTACCTCTTTGCACATTCCAATCACCATTTATTTACCTCTGCAAATTAATGAGACTGTATCTAAAACTAGATCCAACTTGAATTTCTGGCTGTGTGTGTTTTTTAAAAAAAGAATCTTCATTTGAATATACCTCCTACAGGAATTCAAATACAGAATGAGCTCTGGTGAATACCATACATAAATTCTGCACATTAAGTAAGCAGTTAGGCAGGTAAACCTGCTTGGAGGAATGGATGGTATAAATTTCCTCCTATTCGATGGTATGGCCCTTCCTCTTCATTCTCACAAAGCTTTAACCTTTGCCACCAATAGTGTCCTGATCCTGCCACTCTGAGACGTGGATGTCATCACAGGCAATAGCCAGCACTTTCGGTAATAACTTCTCTTTAAATATAAGTAACCTTTCTTTTGAGGATTTTGCTTTGGGATGGATATATGTTCAATTAGCTTATTATGTATGGCCTCCTTTCAAAAGCCTTCAATTTTTCAGTCATTTATTATAGATAGAATTTTTTATTTGTCATTTCTCTTTTCTGCCTCTTTATCATAGCCATACTGTTTGAAGATGAGTGTAGTGTAGTGGAGCTGAAATAGATATGCATTGACACCAATACTAAAGAGAACATGCTCCACTCTAATAGGTTATCTCAAAACAATATTGTTTTTTATAGATATCATGAACATTGACAACTTTACTTTATGGACAAAGAAATTAATTTTTTTAAATGTAATTTAATGTACCTTTTCTAAAGCCAAAGTGTGCTAATCGATCATTTTACACACACACACACACACACACACACACACACACACACACACACACACACACACACACCACTGACCACTTTATTGAGCCCTGTTGAAATTTTAGGATGCATAGTGAATTGGATACATTGTCTAGTGAGCTAGCAACAAATTCTGTGCTCCAGGTACAAAGTCTTTTGCTCCAGGGCAAAATTTGTCTCAAGGGTGTAAGGTTTCAAATTATTTCTTTTTCCAAAATTCTTATTAGTTTTTATTTTGTTGGTTATGCCTAATCTTTTTAACTTTGAGTTGTTTTCAAGGTGAAATTATGACCCCTCTGGTACAAAGTCGTGTTAAGAAAAGGCAGTCTTTTGAGAGAAAGAAGCAAACAAAGATGAGGCATAATAATAGCAAAAGATGACTTACGACATTGGAAGAAACATAATAATCATTTTTACAAGTAGATATCAAGTGCAAAGATCTATGTTCAACCATGTATTTTGGCCACCCGGATAGTGACCATCATTAAACAATTTGCTCAGGTTGTGATATGATCCTTGAGTCAAAATATCAGAAATACCACAGGCCTTCTGAAAGGTTGCTCCTTAATCTACATTTCCCCCCAAATCCTTTTCCAGCTCTAATATCATCCAGCTTTATGAAAAAAGAAAAAAAGCAAGTAAAATTTGAGCTTCTAAAGGGTAGGAGCTATCATTTTGTATTTTGCAGGACCAAGAAACAAATTTCTATGTATTTCATTTTAATTAATTTCAATATATTCAATACTTACCAAAACGGCAAGTTTACATAAGAATGATGAAAACATAGTGGAAAAAGTTAACTTCATTTATTTGATATGGCTTTGTATCTGTACAAGCAAAAGAAATGGAAGAATTCTTTAGATTATTCAAATAACACTCAGAGTTGAGGAAAGAATATGAGGAGGCAATGGTGTAGAAATTTCTAAGATTTAAGCTGGTCTACAATCTGTAAAGGTCTGAGAAGTTTAACTATTTCATGCTATTTTGACCTAAAGTCATGGCAACAAATCAACATTAATAACAATAATATTGTGCTTCCTAGAACTCTCCAAAGAATCCCTGGAAGTTTTGTTTAAAGGGATTATTTTTAAAATTATAACCCATAAGAGATTCTAGACAAGTTCACATACCTCTGCCATTGTACTGTCCATCATGGCAAAGCATGGTTGAGTCTTTCATCAAAGACTGACTGAGTATGGACTGCTACATAATATTTCCATCTAGTCCAACAAATTGAGTGCTTCCTTTCACTCCACATTTATTTTATTGGCATGAAATTTCTCACTCAAGTGGAACAGATCTTAGGATTTGTACAAATATAAATGATATCTTTGTTTTTGAAAGGATTTGAAAGTAAGTCCAAACTGATAGAACTAAAACTTCTGTATCATGCTGGGTAGCAACTTACCCTTCTTTATGTTGGGAGATGAAAGAGATTCAATTACTGCCTAGATTCTCCAGGCACACAAAATGAAGTAGAAAATTGAGGGAAATACACCTCCATTGTCTAGTATTTCATGTGGGGCTCAGAGCTAAATTATCTTCATTCTCCTCAGGCTTCCATCTCTATCTTGTTTAAGGTAGTGGCTCAATGGTTTGTGTGTGGGCACCCACAGTGATGACTACCAAAGCTGACAGCAAATCAAATCTCTTTAGCTACAGATTAGTTTCCTCTGCCATACTACTAATTCCAAACTCTTTCTGTACTCAAGAATTGGCCTCATCTTCTCAATTTAGTTACATTCAGTCACATCCCTATACACTAGATGGTTGACATCAGTACCTTATCATACAATTAACCCTTGAATAACGAAGGGGTTAGAGGCCCTGACCCATTGGGCAGTCGAAAATCTGTGTTTAACTTGACTCCCTGTAAACTTAACTACTAGTAACTTACTGTTGGCAGGAAGCCTTACCAATAACATCGTCAATTAACACATATTTTATTTGTTATAGATATTATATACTGTATTCTTACAATAAAGTAAGCTAGAGAAAAGAAAATGTTATTAAGAAAATTATAAGGAAGGGAAAATATATTTACAGTATTTATTGAAAAAAAGCCTGAATGTAAGTAGACCCATGAAGTTTGAACCTGTGTCGTTCAAGGGTCAACTGTTCATTACCTCATTTGACCCTCACAGTAATGCTGTGGGGTTGAGGAGGTAGATATTATTATCTCTGATTTTGTGTATTAAGATCCTGAATACATCCTTCCCCATTTGACTCACTGGTTTCAAAATGTTGCTGAAAACTCCCAACAGCCACAGACACTCAATGGACGCATGAAGGATTCAAACTGGTTGTTTGGCATCATATAGACCACTATTTCCCAATCCACAAGTGCATCATAGCATTCGGTGTGTTGAGAAGACGCCCTGTGTGTGTGTCACAGCCCAGGGCCTCTCGATGTCCACAGGTTTCCAGTCTCTCATCTCTCTAGCTTCTAACTGTCATTGCAACCATATCTCATTCTTCAGCCTGATGTCACATGCCGAAGATCAGAAGTTCCTAATCCATAAGGAGTCTTTGGGAGCAGAGGAAGCTTATCTAACAAGGTAAGATCAAGATTTATCGCAACTAGGAGGCAAATGGGAGTGGTAGTCAGACATAAGGGCTATGGAGAGAGGCTGCCTGTATTCCTGTACTAGTTCTGTCACCTATTGGCTCTGTGACCTTGGGCAGATCTTATATCTCTCTAAGCCTCTGTTTTTTTATTAATAAAATGAGGCTAATAATAGTAACTACTTCATGGAGTTTCTTTAAGGTTTAAATAACTATGTGAAGTATTTAGAATAATTCTTGGCACAAGCTAAGCACTCAATAGATATTAGCTATGATTCATTTCAAAAATGTTTTAAATTATATATCATTTACAGATATAAAATGGTCTTCAACCAGATAGCCAATGTATGGAAAGCTATTTAATTTCAAAAGTAAATTCTGAATTTTTAGAAGTCAGTCATTAATTTGTTACCACAAAACCTCTCTGCTATTACTTTCTTACTCATTCTTGGATTAAGTAGTGAAAGAGTTTACACTCCATTTAGTGCTTTACATTTCACTTAATCCTCTCTATAACCCTATAATAGTCCCCGTAACCCTGTAACACTATTATTCTAATTCTACCAACAAGGAAACTAAGAGAAAAAGCTACTAAATTTATTACCTACGTTTAGAAATCTTGTTTGTAGTGAGGTTGATCTTCAATCTCAGGCTATTGAGTTGCAGCTCTCGTACGATGAGCACTCTCCACTGCAATGATGTTAGCCTGCCTTTGAAGAGACATGCTTTTAAGCAATGCCAAGGAGGAGAGATTGCACATTTATGTAAAATCTGCCATTGGCTGTCTATGTGAGAATAATCACATCATTAGAAACCGATAGTAAACTTCTATGGTCGAAGCTTCAGTTCTTGTTTGTTTTGTGGGATGCTGGGCTAGACTAGAGGATAACTCCACTCTTAGCTTTGCCATGGTATGAAAACTTGTCCTCTGAATCTTTAGGTGTTCTGGCAACTCAGAGGTGAGCAAAGACTTAAAATAATTGAAAATTTTTGACTAAAATAAAACAAAAAGATAAGCCTCCATACTAGGCTAAATTTATTTCATTTTCAGAACTGAACTATGTCAAGGGTAGTTTCTAAGTGAAAAAAATAATTTAATAATGCTCAGAGTTAGCTCACTGTTATTTTCTCCCTTCCACACTTTCTCATCTTTCCCAGAATGTTAGTCAAGTTTTTATTAGGGCACAATCTTCATTTCATTAACTGACTTTGATATATAAAATTAATCTGTGATTATTAAATGTTTTATGTCAGGCATTCATTCCAATGATGTGGCTGTTTTTTACAACAACATGTTTGACTTGTGGAATTTTAAATGCTGACAGATTCTTTAATTTGGAAAATGAAGCGAATCCTGAGGTGTGGATGAATATTGTAAGTCACGGAAAATATCAAAAAACATCAAATAATGTCGATTAAGGGGTTATGAAATGATTAAAGGTCCTGTTATAGCTGAAAATCTCTGATAAGAAAACAGATTATTTTAAACATTTTTCTAAGAGTCAAGCTAGGTATATCTGCTCTTTTGACTGAATAAATAATACTTTCTAGTAATACAAAACGGAACTGTATTTTTAAAGACAATCTCTTCTTTTGAATTTATATTTTAAGAATATTAAGAATTTATGTTTTAAGCCATCTGGATGGTAAATATGACTGCTTTCTGCCCGACTACTGGTTTTATTATCTTTAAACCAAGAGAGGTGTCAAAAGAAAATTGACTTGAAAATATAGTTTTGTCAAAAGAATGTGTCAGTGTTAAATATTATCCCCCCTCAAAAATGCCAATAGTAGACATTTTCTAATATTCTACATATTTTTTTTTTATCAAGACTTTATGTAGTAAGTTAATTTTACAGTTATCTGGGACTACAGATTAAGATAATTAACCCCAATAAATACATACCAGGTGCTTTGTTCTAGTTCCTTTTGATAAACTTTAGTGAAGATGTTCAGCTAATGCTTGTATTTTCACTGGGCAGAGTGAAATAATCACCTACAATGGTTACCCCAGTGAAGAATATGAAGTCACCACTCAAGATGGGTACATACTGAGCGTCAACAGAATTCCCTATGGGCGAAGAGATGCTAGGAGCACAGGTACAAGATGTGTCTCTGTTAATAAGAAGGACTGAATATGATCAAAATTTAGTACGGCTATTCTTTAAGTAAGTGACTGATTTATCAAAATTTATTTGAATTTTGGATTAGTCTTTAAATGGTTAACAGGGAGTCTCATTTTTTTTCCATTCTCTGGAGACTGCCAAGAACCTAAAAATATAAAGGGCAAGACTGATCTTGCTGACTGCAACCAAGCTTGCTTGTTAGGGTGTAAATACAAAGGTGGAGCCTACTTTATTAGCTCATTACTGATTTCTCATGTGAAAATTTGCTGTGTTCTAGGAAAGTGAATTTTCTCACTGTTGGAAAGACATTAGCTGAGTTGTGTGAAGTTGGCTATGAGGTACCCCAAAAGCATCTCTCCTGCCTCCACTAGAATCAATAGCCCTCCCTCTGCATGATAAAAAATCAAGTCAAATGACTGGCATTTCTGAAACTTCTTTTTCTAGGGGGAAAAAACCTTTAATATTCACATATGCTTTGAGGGACCAAGTGATGATTTGTGGAACGAAAAAGCATGGTGTTAATAAACCCTCATTCTCGAATGAGGAGTCAGGCATACACAAGCAGAGGAATTCTACTCTTTAAAAGGAAGATATAACTGCAAAGCCTCTGAAGAAGGAGAGAGAAGAAAAAGCAAGATCTCTGCAAAGCCTCAGTGGCTAATCATTTACCATGATCACTGCATCATCTTTCCCACCATCCACATTCAGAGGCAGCTATAATCATGCTGTTTGATTTTCTTTCC